ATTCTCGGGTGGATCTTTTTATTTGATGGCTTCTTTGTAAGTTTTTCTTTTCAGTGCAATTTCAGTGTTTTTTTACTAATTGGACATGAGGGATCGTCTTCCGTATGAAAATAGCCTTGGCATTTTCTGCAGCTATAAGAATCATTGCACACCACTTCTAGTTCCACCCATCCATCGTTCTCCATGTCAATTACGAAACTGGGAAAAAAGAGAGGTAGGTTCTGGTATGAACTGACACTTCAGCTAGCGAAGTGGTACACAGTAGGAACTGACCCGGGACTGGGATCCGGCCCTGCGACCATATCCCGACTCTACCCAACCAAACGACTTTTGAAAGAGGCTTTCATCGCAGGGTGTACGCAAGTGGAAAAGAAGCGGTGGGTTATGGTATTAACTGACACCTCAGATAGCGAAGTGGTACAGTAAGAACTGACCTGGGACTAGGATCGAGTTGTTCAACTCTACCCAGCCAACGACTTATGAAAAACTAGTTGGGCGTACGAAATCCGAGGCAGACTCCCATTTACCGGATCAGTGGACGATCGACAGATAACGATAACCTCGGGAAACAAGTTATCGGGGAGATGAAACAAGACCCCTCCAGATAAGTCGCTGAATGCCAACGGCCTTAAGATTTTTGGATCTCTTGCTTAATTTTTTTGGTATTTTTTGGACAGTTTTTCTTCTGTTATTTTGTGAAAATATCCGAACTCGTAAAGTGACAAGTGCGGTAGCTAGAATAGTGGCTTGCAAACAAAGTAGAAAGATATAAGGATTGTTACTAAGTGCGGGATGCATTTTTCGACCTAAGTAGTATAAGGGCAGAAGGGTTGAGATCGCTTTTGTTGCCTAGAGATGGTGTTCATCATGATAATGGTACTACGAGGGTAACACCCTCATTGTCATGATAAAATTTGTGTTCATTGCACATACAACCGATCTAATTGACCTTGCACTTGCTTGGGAATGATTGCTTGGTGTAGTGAATTTCCCTCCACGCGCTTCTCATCTCTTTTCATTTTTATTTTCATTCATTATTTGGTTTTCATTTTTATTTTCATTTTTATTTTCATTTTCATTTTCACTTTCACTTTCATTTTTATTTTTATTATTTTTTCAATATTTCCCATCTTCATCTTTATTGTGATCTTCACCTTTTTCACTATCTGATAATCACTGTCATTATTGATTATTTTTTTTTTTTTCATTATTGCTTGAGAAGTGCTACTCCGATGCTAATCATTGATACGATATTGGCATCTGGAAGATGGACCTGGTGATCAAGGGGACGCCGACGGTGTGGCAAGCGTGACGAGTAAAACAGTAGGAGCGAGAAGCGCTATCACTGCGCGAGAAGCGCTATCACTGCGCGAGAAGCGCTACGTCATCGGACGAGAAGTGCTGCGTCGATCTTGACATCTGGAAGATGGAGCTATTGACCAAGGAGACGCCGACAATGTGGGGAGTGTAGTGTGTAAGACAACAGGAGCAACGGGATCGAGATTGGGCCGCGTATTCGACATAAGCGTGAGACTCTATTTGAGTGTTTTTACTATGCCTTGCGCGTTCCTTCGCATACCTGTGTACGTCTTACCATGACACGCGCGATAATTTTAGTACTCAAGAGTGGGAAATAGGAGTGTTGCTGGGTGTTGAAGTTGACGGTTATTGGAAGCATAGGCTTAGAAGTCAAGGAGTAGAAGGAATCTTTCTTGTTGGTAGCCCTTCTCCTAGCTGAAGTTTATGAATGAAAGAGGACGTGGAAGGGCAAGGGGACGAGGTAGGTGGTCCGACTGCGGCAGATACTGGATGGACCAATCAGCTAATGGCGATGGCTTTCCTCCGAGCCCGTCGGCTCCAAACTACCCTCCTCCTCACCCTGCTCCTCCTCCTTCTCCTATGTTCCCTCCCTACCAACCTTTCCCCACGTTTGGACAACCATACGGGGCGCCGATGCCTCGACTGTGACAACAACCTGGACAATTCGGGGATAACTATGGAAATGGGTTTGGTTACAGGTTTGGGAACGACTATGGTAGCTAGTAACTTGTGTAGCACGCCTAACGTGTTCGCGCCCCTTCACGTTCGCGTGAATGCGAGAACAACTCGCGAACATGTTCGGACGAACATAATTTTTTTTGGAAAAATTTGCAAAATGCCCCTGAAATTTCCGTTTATTGGCGATTCGCCCTCGGACGGCTGAGGTTTTCTGATTTGCCCCTGAGGCCTCTGAACATCCGTGCAGGCCCCTGTCAGTGAGGGGCCCATCTTTTCGTAATGCACCTACCGGACCTGCGGTCCCATTTCCCGTGGTGCCTGTCCGATTTGCCCTCCTGCGGGGCCTGCATCTTTGCGAGATGCCATTGGAGAGGGAGGCGCAAAAATTTCGAATTTGAACGCTCCGCCGCCAAAAAAAACAGGGCTGCATTCCGTATCGCCCTTGCAGCTGCAATCTGCCGCAGTGGAGTTCATACGCTCGCCTTCTGCTGCGACTCGCCGACTTCCACGTCCGTGACTTTGACATCTGGTGAAGGTATGTGTTCCACCCCGTCTTCCA